TGAGTCCTACCGCCACGTGGGAGACCTGGCTGGGGTCACAGGCTCCTGACATCAGCATTTGGGGAATGAATCAGCAGAAGATCTCGCTCGCTCGCTCGCTCTCTCTCTCTCGCTCGCCCTCCCTCTCTCCCTCCCTCCCTCTCTCAAGTAAAATGAAAATCATTAAAATCTGGAAATGTTTGAATTGACATGTTATGCAAATATATTCTTTATGTTCATTCTATTTATTGAGGAGCTACAGTCTTTTAGGCATTGTGAAATTGAACTGATAATTTGTATCTGTTATTTTTATGTGTTTCTATAGACTACATGTATGCATATAGGTATAAGCAAGTATTTGTGTGCATATATATGTGTATCTGCCTTTAGATCCATACTAGATTTTTACAATGTTTATTTATTTATTTGAAAGAGCTGCAGAGGGAGGGGGAGAGGCAGAGAGAGAGATTTTTCCATCTGCTGGTTCACTCCCCAGATGGCCACATTGGCCAGGGCTGACCCAATCCAAAGTGAGGAGCCAGGAGCTTTGCCTGGGCCTCCCACGTGGATGCAGGATCCCAAGCACGCGGGCCATCTGCTGTTTGTCCCAGGCCACCAGCAAAGGGGCTGTATTGGAGGGATGCCAGTGTTGCAGGTGGAGGCTTTACCTGCTATGCCACAACGTGGGTCCCCATATTAGATCTTAGGTTAGCTGACAACAGGAAGCAGGACTTCCACTTCTGCATGTCTAAAGAGTCTAATGTAGTCCAGTGTGGACAGTAGGTACCAACAAGTGTTTCTTGATGGGTCATTCTTATTTTTAGGTTTCACATACAGTATCTATCGATATACGTAACATCGACAGATGAAGTTAGTAATAGATCATTTATAGATTAAAGAATAGTTCAGTTTAGCAAGCTGTTCCATACCTCATATATGCAAAAGCCTGCTGCAGGCCGTGAAGTCAGCACGCGGGAACTTGATGCGATGTGCGATAGCCCCTCTGTAGCACATGATTCAGTGAGAAATGAGTTTACAGAGAAGGGGTGGATTAGAGTGGAATAAGACACATGATCTGAAATAGCTTCTAGAAGTAGTATTGCCTGGTATAGGCCTGGAGGGATTGATAGGATTTGTGTGGGGTGGGAGTAGACCTACACAGTCAGTGGTGCTGAGGGGGAGAGACCCAGTGCACAGGGCATGTCTGAGCAGTGAGGGCACAGGACTCGCCGAGGGTTGTGTCCTGTAGAGTCACAAGAGCAGAGGCACAGGAGAGCCTTTAAGCCCCAAGGAATTTGAAGTTTGTCCCTGACATGAGAGGGAGTTTTTTTTTAAGTTTTTTTTCCCCTGCAAATAGGAACCGTGAGTAACTAGAGCAGGGATGGACCTGAAGTGGGCTCAGTTGCTGGGTTGCATAGAAAACGCAGGGGTGGAACAAGGCTGACGGCAGAGGAAGGAAACAGCTTGCTCTCTAGAATCTTCAGCTTCCTGCTAAGCCTTTTTCCTCTTTGAGACTATGCACTCTGCATTCACATCATTCTTGATTCACGTAAGGATTCTTCTGGATCAGAATATTTGATATTTGATTTATTTTGAAAGTTACCAGTTATAACTCAAGTGTAAGCACCCTGACAGTCAGTCTGTCCTTCCTGGCGCGTGGGGAAGGGGTGATGGAAATAGAAGGACTTCAGGCTGGTTTCTCCCCTGGACTTTTAGGGTTTTCTTTGTATAATTTTTAACCTTTGTATTAAACATTAAAATGACAGCCACACAGACAACTGCATGCCTTTTAATTTTGAGACTTGAGTTGCTCCTATGAATACTTTCATCTGAAAAACATTGTTGCTCTGAATTGTCCCTGTTTGACTCTGCCTTTCAAATAAAAATATAAATCTTGGGGCAGCGTTAATCCCCTGCCTGCGGTGCCGCTTCTAGCCCTGGCTGCTCCTCTTCCGATGCAGCTCTCTGCTGTGGCCTGGGAAAGCAGTAGAAGATGGCCCAAGTGCTTGGGCCCCTGCACCCACAAGGGAGACCTGGAAGAAGCTCCTGACTTCAGATCGGCCCAACTCTGGCCATTGTAGCCATTTGGGGAGTGAACCAGCAGAGGGAAGACCTTTCTCTCTGTCTCTCCCTCTCACCATCTGTAACTCTGTCTCAAATAAATAAATAAAAATCTTTAAAAAAATAAATCTTTAAGAAAAAGAAGCTAAACTATATTTAATTTATATGGACAAAGGCATTACCTTTTTTGTTTGCATCTGTGTGCTTCCGTTTTTTGCTTTTACTTAACGAGCGTTGTGGAATCCGTCCTCTGGGAGTGACGCCGTTGAGTGCTAGGATGTAAGATAGCGCCTCATAAGGTCTCCTCAGGAAGACCGGGGGCAGGCAGAGGGCGGACTTGGAACACGTTACTGGAGGCATTCAAATTAAACGCAGGGCTTGGAACAGAATATGGCAAGATGAGCAGTAAGAGAATGGAATGAAGGAGGGAAAAGATCAGCGAAAGTGATATTTTAATTGAATTTTAAAAGACAAATTTGATGGAAAATAGAATTCCTGGTAGAGATAGCAGGTGACATCAGCGGCTTTCTTCTGGCCTCCAACCATGAATAAAAATAGGAAGTTTTTTTTTTTAGAGTCAAAGAAAATGCTCTTTCATTTGTAATTTTAAATTTATTTTTATTTATGTGAAAGGCAAAGAGAAAGAGATCCAAACAGGCAGGTCTTTCCTCCGCTGACTCACTCTGCGAAGGCCCACAACAGGCAGGGCTGGGCCAGGCTGAAGCCAGGAGCCTAGAACTCCATGCAGGTCTCCCACCTGGGTGACAAGGACCCAAGTACTTGAGCTGTCATCTCTGCCTCTCAGGGTGCAGAACTTGGCCCAGGCACTCCAACACGGAACGCAGGCGTCCCACACTCTGTCTTAACCACTGGGCCACATGCCCACCCTCTGCCTTCCTTCAGTAACTTGGAGCCTGCGTGGACTTTGTAGTGCAGCAGGTTCAGGCACTTGCCATGCCAGCATCCACATCGCCGTGTGGCTCAAGTGCCAGCTCCCCCGCTTCGTCCAGCTTCCTGCTAATGCACCTGGGAAGGCAGCAGAGGACGGACCAAGTTCTTGGGCCCCTACGTAGCACCCTTGGAGACCTGAATAAAGTTCCTGGCTTCTAGCCCTTAGAGCCATTTGGGAGTGAAGATCTTTCTGTCTCTGTCTCTCCCTCTCTGTTGTTCTGCCTTTCAAATAAATAAATTTTTAAAAAATAGAGGCTGGCATCGTGACGCAAGTGGCAATTGTGACGAATGCATCCCACGTCAGAGCATCGGTTCGAGTCCTAGGTGCTCCGCTTCCAGCCCCCTCCCTGCTAATGCCCCTGGGAAGAAGGCAGCCGACAATGCCCCAGGACTTGGCCTCTGCTACCATGTGGGAAACCCAGGTGGAGCTCCGGGCTCCTGCCTTCAGCCTGGCTGTTGAGACCCTTTGGGGAGTGAACCAGCAGATGAAAAATCAATCTGTATTTCCCTCTCACCCCCAGCACCATATCTGTGTCATTCTGCTTTTCTTCTCTTTTTCTTTTCTTTTTTTCTTTTTTTTCTTTTTTTTGACAGGCAGAGTTAGACAGAGAGAGAGCCAGAGAGAAAGGTCTTCCTTCCGTTGGTTCACCCCCCAAATGGCCACTACTACGGCCGGCGAACTGCGCTGATCCGAAGCCAGGAGCCAGGTGCTTCTGGTCTCCCATGGGGTGCAGGGCCCAAGCACTTGGGCCATCCTCCACTGCCTTCCCGGGCCACAGCAGAGAGCTGGACTGGAAGAGGAGCAACTGGGACAGAACCAGCGCCCCAGCAGGGACTAGAACCCCGGATGCCGGCGCCACAGGCAGAGGATTAGCTTAGTGAGCCACGGCACTGGCCCACTCTGCTTTTCAAATAAACAAAATCAATCTTTAAAAAAAATTTAAAGAAAACCTTCAGAGCCTGAAAGTGATGACTGCATGTAACGTGCATTGGGGATGTGTTATCATGTACCTGCAGTGTAGACTCAATTGATGGTGATTTGCACAGCGCCTATGTGCTTGTCCCGGTGGGGAGCTTCCAGTGATCCACTCTTCCTTTTACCCTCTGCCACCTTTAGTTTGGTGAACCCAATATCCTCAAAATAAGCTTCCTTTCCACTCCAGGTTCAGGTAAGGCTGTGGAGAGCGAGCGCAAGCGTGGAGAGCGAGCGCAAGCATTGCGAGCGCTGAGAACAGTTTGCATCTGGGAAGGCAACGCAGGCCTGTGATTCCTAGGTTGAATAGGCGTCCTGCATCGGGTCCGTCTTCAATTTCATCTCATGATTTCTCCAGTTCTCCTACTTTAATCAATATTGCTTGTCTGTTAGGTTCCACACACTACTCCAGGCACTTCAGTGACTCTGTTTGGTGACTGGAGTGGACAGAGGCCCCCGATCCGGTGGAACTGCCATCTCGGTAGCTGTCACAGCAACCCTGAAGCTGTCTCTCTCCTTCCCTGTAGACAAGGGTTATTAAAATCACGCTGCTCCCTGAAGCAGAGTTTCTGTAGGGGTCCTCATGTAGACACGGGGAAAGCAGACATTCTTCATTCCGGGGGAAGAGAACTTCTGTAGCTGACGGCTGTGTAGGGGTGGACCTGTGTGATGGGGCATGTTTTCTGTAGTTTATTTTGTAAGATGAAAGTTAGAATGTGCTAAAAATATGGTGGTTTCAGAGACAGATAAGTGGGTGATGGGAGAAATATTTGAAGACAAGTTATTTGAAGCTTTCCTTGCTTTGTACTTCAGTGAGGAGAGAGGGAGAAGGCAACCACCAATGCCTAAGGCAGCGATTATAGTTTGGGAGTTCTTTAAATAGGCAAAAGAGAGAAGCGTAATAAGACCACGGGAGACCTAAATAGGAAAGAGTTCTGTTATGGCATTAGCAGCCCAATTTGTGAGAAGTGCAGTGGATTTGAACAGAGTGTTTTCAGTCTCACTTTGAGCATAATTCTTATGTGTTACCCTGCAGGTGCTGTGCCTGCTCCCTCGGGGAAAAGTGAATCCCCACAAGTGGCCGTGACTTTGGGCAGGAGGTCAGACAGTACCGATACAGCTGCCGGGACAGAAAGCCCCCTGCCAGCGCCTCCAGACGAGCAGGTGGCTGCGGGAAGCCGGGAGGCCCGAGCAGCTCTGCCAGCATTCTGGTACTCAAGTAAAGAAGAGTTCATCAGCTCCAACTTAAAGATCGCAGAGCCAGAGTCTCCCTTCCACAGCCAGGCCTCTGTGGAGACACTCTACGTCTCTCCCTCACTCAAAACCTTTGACCCCGTCAAGGAGAAGGTGATCAATAAGGACTGCGAGAGGCCGACGGAGCCCGGGGCTGTTCAGATGGCGGATGAAAGCCAGCCCTGCCCCACCGCCGGTGAGTCTCCGAAAAGCACAAGCCCTCTGTGCAGCCAGCTCTGCTTCCTGCGCTTCCTGTCGCCCCCCCCCCCCCCTTCACCCTGCATCAGTGATGTTCAAATGTGCATGCCACAGAAACGCGTCTCCCCTGGGAAATTGTTCCCTTCAGGGCTGACAGATAATTCGTTATCGTGGGTCACCACTGCTTCGCTGAGTGTGTTGCTGTAAGGGCTGGGCAGTTTGTGTGCAGCCTAAATGAAAAGGAACTAGCGTTAAGTAAGAGCTTCCTGTTCGCCATGTGGGCTGCTTATTAAGCTAGCAGGTGACACAGAATTGGTCGTGTGCATTGTGGTGTCTGCAGACAGACTCGTGAGACTGTATGTTGCTCAGACGGAGGGGAAGAGGATCTTGTCATTTTTCTGTCTTTAAAGGGGATTTGGAATTGACTAGTCATGGTGGTAAAGGATAAAGCTAGTTGATATTCCAGGTTGTTGGCTTCAGTTATTAAATCATGCATTATACAGTTATGCTTTCTTCATTAAAGTTAATTAGAAGAATAATTTGTTTGCTTATGCATTTTTCAAAGATTACATAGTAGTTACATAAGTTCATATGGCTAGTAGTGCTTGCCAGTTCATAACTAGTAAGCTTACTTACCTCAACTGCAGATCAGAAGTACACATACATTCAAACAGTGGAAACCACCGTGTTGGGGTTAAAGATATTGGGGTTCTAGAAAGGTTAATGAATAATGAAAGATTATTCTTACCACTCTTTGGAGAGTTTTTTTGTATTGAATAGCCTAAAGGAAGTAAAACAGATTCTTTGTGTGTCACCAGATTCACTTTCCTGCTGAGACTACTGATGTGGAAGCCAGGTAGTCACTGGCTACGGCGACTGCGGTGGCCCATGTGTGTCCCCGGGAAGTTGTCACTTTTGGTTCATTTCTTTCACAGCACCACAAAGAGATAAACTGAAAATGAATTTGGGGCACTGTTTGTATGACAAGTAAGCTTAACAAAATTTGGTAAGACGTTCTTCTAACACCATTTAGCAAGGCGGACTTTGGCTTATCTTCAAAAGGAAGTAGACGGGGGCCAGTGCTGTGGTGTAGCAGGTAAAGCCACCGCCTGCAGTGCCGGCATCCCATATGGGCCTGGCCCGAGTGCTTGGGCTCCTGCACCTGCGTGGGAGCCCCAGGAAAAGCTGCTGGCTCCTGGCTTCAGATTGGCCCAGCTCTGGCTGTTGCAGCCATCTGGGGAGTGAACCAGCAGGTGGAAGCCCTCTCCCTCTTCTCTCTCTGCCTCTGCCTCTCTGTAACTCTGCCTTTCAAATAAATAAATAAGTCTTTTTTAAAAAACGAAGGAAGGAAGTAGATAGATTGGTCTAACCCCACCTCCAAAAGTAACTGTTACAGCAGGGAAGTGACAAGCTGACTTAAAGTCGTCATAGACAACAAGGGGGAGAACACAGGATGGAGCAAGCCCCCAGGGAGGAGGGCTGCTGAGCTGAGCCCCACATGCACCTCCGTTCACCGCCTTGGGTCGCTTGCCAGTTAGCAGAGCCTGAGAATAGACGCTGAGGGAAAATCGAAGGCCCGGGCTTTGCAGTCTCACTCAGCTGGAGAGGAAGGACTGGAACTCGGGGCTCCCAAGGAGCAGGGCGTCCCCGAGAGCAGGACCCTCACCGGCGCCGACCCCGGCGTCCCCGAGAGCGGAGCCCTCGCCATGCCGACCCCGGCGTCCCCGAGAGCGGAGCCCTCGCCATGCCGACCCCGGCGTCCCCGAGAGCGGAGCCCTCGCCATGCCAACCCCGGCGTCTCCGAGAGCAGGGCGGGCGGCTGATTCTCCACTGCCCTCGGGAAGACATTCAGATCCTGCGCTGAGAGCTTCTGAGATGTCCTAATGAAGGACGTTCGGCACTCCAGGAAATGGACGGATGGCCAGAAAGAGAGGGGAGAAGCAGACATGGGGACAGGCCGCAGGTACTCTAGGGTCTGAAGGATCAAGAAGCGGGTTCTTTCAAATAATTATGAGTCATGTGATCAAGAGAACAGAGGAAAGGTGGAGAATTTCATCAGAGTCCCAGTGAACAAAGAAATGAATGTTTTAGAGCTGGCACAGGCCCTGAGGCTGCTCGTGTGAACACAGCCCGAGCGCAAAGGGGTCAGTGTTGGCAGAGAAGCTGGAAGGTCACCCAGAAAGCCCTTCAAGAGGAGGCGCAGCAGGGTGAGCCTCGCCACTCAGCGTGAGCTCTGCCCAGCTCTGTGACCACTGAACAGCGCTGCTTGTTCATGTGGGCTGATCCCAGTGCATCTGATTGTAAAATAAATAGAAGTGCTGCTCGAAGCCAGGAAGAACTGAGAGAGATGTCCGCCTCTGCTCACTGCAAGGGTGACAGTTTGAAAAAATCCAGGCAAGTTATCTCCCCACTAAAACCAAAAATCACTTCTCAGAGGAATTTCAGAGTCCAGACGTTCTACAACGTGCCATCCAAATGTTTAGCATAACATAAAAAATTCCTGGACATGCGAAGAAATAGGAAAAGAGGGTTCCTGCTGAGGCTAGAAGGCGTCGGTAGAAACTGGCCCTCGGTGACCCACGCCGCAGCCAGCAGCCAGATTCTCAGAGCCCTGCTCCGCCTGTCCAAGGACTTCAAGTGCAGTTAGTGAACAGAAAGAGGGAACTCAGCAGGTGGGTATGAGGGGCTTCAAAAGGCTTGTGAGAAAACGGAATTCGAACACAAGTGCTTCGGCTGTAAAAATTCTCTAGCACCCAGACGTAAAGTCTCCACAATCAGATGGAGGCTATGGAACTGAAAAGTAGACAATTGAAATGAAAAGTTTGCCGCAGGAATGTAACAGCAGATTAGAAGTGCAAGAGGTAGAAGTAAAATGAGTTCAAATAGAAATTTTCTAATTGAAAAATGAGAAAAGATCAAATAAAAATAAACAGAGACCCAGAGTCTTGTGGGACAGTATTAGACAGTCTGACGTTGGTGTAATTATATTTCCAAAAGGTGAGGAAAAGAGATAGGGCCAGAAAAAAATACTAAAAGAGGTAATAACCAAAAGCTTTGTAAATTTGTGAAACTTTCAAATCCAAAATACTCAATGAACCCTAAACCTAGGAATAAATACAAAGAAACCGCACCTCAACATTATAATTGAAAACTGAACCCCAGACATAAGATCTTCAAAGCAGCAAGAAAATATTGTCACTTTAAATACAGAGGAACAATATCAGAGACTTCTTGCTTTTCATCATAAGCAATAAGTACCAAGAGACAAGGAAAAGTCATTTCACAAGTGTTAATAGACAAAACCTGGGACAGGCGTTTGGCCTAATGGTTACCATACCTGCCTCCCGAATCAGAGCCAGGCTTGTAGTCCAGCTTCTAGCTCCCAATTCCAGCTTCCTACCAGTACAGGCCCTCGGAAGCAGCTAGGTCCTGGGAGCCCATGTGCGAGACCTGAATTGAGGTTCCAGCTCCTTGCTCGGGCCCCAGTCTCAGTCCTGGCCATCGCAGGCATTTGAGGAATGAATTAGTAAATGAGAGATGAGAATGGACATTCTCTCTCCCTCTGTGTCAAATCTTTTTTTTTTAAAGACAAAACCTGTCAGAATTTTATATCTAGCAAAACCAAAAATGAAAGTAAAAACAGACATATTCAAGTGAATAAGAACTTTTTTTTTAAAAAAAAAGATTTATTTTATTTGTTTGAAAGAGTTACAGGAGCCAGCACTCTGGTGTAGCGGGTAAAGCTGCCGCCTGCAGTGCCAGCATCCCACATGGACGCTAGTTCGAGTCCCGGCTGCTTCACTCCCGATCCAGCTCTCTGCTATGGCCTGGGAAAGCAGTGGAAGATGGCCCAAGTGGGGAACCCAGAGGAGGCTCCTGGCTCTGACTTCGGATCAGCCCAGCTCTGGCTGTTGTGACCATCTGGGGAGTGAACCATCGGATGGAAGACCGATCCCCCCCACCCCTCTCTGCCTCTGTCTCTACCTCTACTTCTTTGTAACTCTGCCTTTCAAGTAAATAAATAAATCTAACAACACAAATGTGTCTGTAGGATACAATGGGTCTTCAAAGAGCTCATGGAAATGCACATATAACAAAGTATGCATGCTTTTAAATTTTTTGCAACAAAATTAATGTATTTTTAAGTTCACTTTTCCATGAACTTTTTGAAGTCCCCTCATATCTATTACAATATAGTACAAATAAGAGAGTCCATGGAATTTTACTGGTGAAAGATTTCTGTATTTTACATGACATAGAACAGTATTAACTATAATTAACTGGTAGTAAGTTAGACACGCACATTTAATCTCACTTAAAAGGAGAGTGGTGTAGCTAAAATCCTACTGAAGAAATAATATGGAATATACAGATTAATCTGGTTAACCAAGAAAATGAATGGAAAATAAGAGACCCAAGTTTTACTATTTCCATTAAATGTAAAAGGAACAGACATTCCAATTAAAAGGAAGACATTCAGGTTGACTGGAAGAATAAGATCCAACTATATGCTGTGTAAGAAAGAAGCACTTTGAATGTAAACACATAAATTGATTGAAAGTAAAAGGCTATTTGGGGCCGGTGCTGTGGCTCACTTGGTTAATCCTCTGCCTGCGGCACCGTCATCCCATTTGGGCACCAGTTCTAGTCCCGGTTGCTCCGCTTCCAGTCCAGCTCTCTGCTGTGGCCCGAGAAGGCAGTGGAGGATGGCCCAGGTCCTTGGGCCCCTGCACCCGCATGGGAGACCGGGAAGAAGCACCTGGCTTCTGGCTTCAGATCTGCGCAGCGCCAGCCGTGGTGGCCATTTGGGGAGTAAACCAACGGAGGGAAGACCTTTCTCTCTGTCTCTCTCTCTCACTGTCTGTAAACTCTACCTGGCAAATAAATAAATAAAAAATCTAAAAAAGAAATTAAAAAAAGAAAGTAAAAGGCTTAAAATATATATATATTGGCCGGCACCGTGGCTCACTAGGCTAATCCTCCGCCTTGCAGCGCCGG